TAAATGAATGATTGAATAAATGAATAAATAAATAAATGATTGAATGACTGTTTGAATAAGTGAATGAATGAATGAATGTTTGAATGAATGAATAAATGAATGATTGAATGAATGAATGAATGATTGAATAAATAAATGATTGAATAAATGAATGTTTGAATAAATGAATAAATAAATAGATGATTGAATGAATGAATGTTTGAATAAATGAATGAATGAATGAATTCTTTATTGGCCAAGTGTGATTGGACACACAAGGAATTTGTCTTGGTGCAAATGCTCTCAGTGTACATAAAAAGAAAAGACACATTTGTCAAGAATCGTAAGGTACAGATTGATACAGACTTGGGTGGAACAAATGATGGGAGGGCATATTCCGTTTAAACAAGGAATTATTTCTCTTGGGAATAATGATAAAAAGTTATAGGAAAGGTATAGCATGTTTGATCATACATGTTTTGACAACGGTGTGAATGATATACGCACAATATTGGGAAAATGAAACCATCCCACCAGAAAGAGAAATAATAAAAAAAAATAATGCCTTGTGCAGAATTGGATAGGCTAATCTTAGAACTGAAAAATAAGGGGGAATCCGTTTACTATGAAACGTGGAATAAGTTTTATCAGCGATTACAAAAAAGAAGGCAAGGTCAGAACAGAAACAACCTGGATGAATAGAACCAAAAAGCAAATACTGGATCAATAATATGAAAGTCAACGGTTTAGCAATATCTTTGTATGTATAGTAAATGTAACGCCCAAACGGCAGCACTGTTGTATATTTACAATTGTAAACAATAATCTATATAATAAAAAAGAATCATCCGGTACAACACTTAATGATAGTCATAAGGTACAATAAGCAATCAAATCATACTAGGAAACAGTCAATATAAATCGTAAGGATACAAGCGACAAAGTTACAGTCATACAGTCACAAGTGGGAGGGGATGGGCGATAAGGAGTGATGAGAAGATTAACAGTAATAGTAATGCAGATTTTGTAAACAGTTGAACAGTGTTGAGGGAATTATTTGTTTAGCAGAGTGATGGCATTTGGGGAAAAAATTATCCTTGTGTCTAGTTGTTCTGGTGTGCAGTGCTCTATAGCATCCTTTTGAAGGTAGGAGTTGAAACAATTTATGTCCGGGTTGTGAGGGGTCTGTAGATATTTTCACAGCCCTCTTTTTGACTCGTGCGGTATACGGGACCTCCATGGAAGGCAGGTTGGTAGTAACTGTCTTTTCTGCAGTCTTAATTACCCTCTGGAGTCTACCAGGCACTGAGACACCAGGAAAGGCCCCGCGGGAGGAGCAGAGACCACTTCCCATTGGGGAGAAGGGACCAATGGCACCCCCTCATCCCTGGGCATGTGGACTCACCCTATGAAGGCACAGCCAGCCCTGTCCAAATACAGAGGAGTTATAACAGACAGGAATCATGAAGAACAAGCCGGGGCCAACCACAACTGCAATAGCTGGCAGGTTAACATCATGTAGTGATAAGGATTCCAGGCTAGGTCGGACAAGGCAGGAAGCGACAACAAGTCATAAGCCTCCTTTGACCAACATGACGGAAGCAAAAATAGCAAAGCTAATTATGGACGGGAGGTGGTTGGAAGGACCTATCACGCATACAAGGGCTAAATTGATTAATGATATATAAAGGCAAAGGTCTCTGTAATAGTAGCTTAACACTCTGACATGTCCGCAGAGGCTGATGAAAGCTTAAGTACATTAAATATAATTTCAAGTTCGGGCGATCGCAGGATGTCTGTTTCTTCTTTTACAAGTATACCTGGAACTCGTATTTTTAGAATAGTTGTGTGTGTGTGAGAGAGAGAGAGAGAGAAAGAGAGAGAAAGAAAGAGACATGGACAGCTGTATAAATCAGGTAGACAGACTGATAGACAGAGAGAAAATAGTTGGATGTGTGGATAGATAAGAAAGATGAATAGATAAGAGATAAACAGATATAGATAGATGATAGATATGGATAGGCAGGCAGACAGATATAGATGACAGATAGATATAGATATATATAGATAGCTCTATCTATCTATCTATCTATCTATCTATCTATCTATCTATCTATCTATAGAGGGGGGAATTCCGGGAGTTGGACACCGCATATCTTAAAGTTGCCAAGATTGGGAAACGCTGCACAAAATGGCAATCTTAGAATGAGCCAGAAGCTGTTTTTCTGGCCACTCTGAGATCCTCCAGCTTGCTGGCATTCACACAACATGTTTCACCCCAAGCCAGATAAAAAAACCCGAATTGTCAAACATCCATCATCTGCAGTGGGCCTGTTCACATAGCTTGCTGAGACAAGAATCCAACCATCTGTATTTTAGCTTGGTTTGAGTGTGCTGTGTGAATGAAAACCTGTATCTTTTTTTTTTTAATGCACATGTGAGTTGTTGAAATTGTCTTTCGCCTAAACGTTTCTTTTTTTTTTCTTTTTCTCCAGACTATGGGGAAGTTGAAATCCTGGTCTCAGTTTTTTGCATAGGGTTTGTCATTCTCCTTGCAGGAACTTTGGTCTGCGTTTCCAGACATCGATCGTATGTCAATAAGTACTGTGTTTTTCCATTTATCATTGTCTTTCCCTATGTCTATCTGTCTGTCTGTCTGTCTATCTATCTATCTACAGTATCTATCTATCATCCATGTCATCTGTCTCATGTATCTGTGTCTGTCTGTCTATTTATCTACCTATCTATCTACTATCCATGTCATTTTTTACATTTTTTAAAATTCAATTTGTCAATCACTTACAAGATACAGGTATAAGAATAAATATAGTTTTGAATACATGAGATACTTATAAGAAAAATAAAAAGAAACAATAGGACAGGAACGGTAGGCACGATTGGTGTACTTATGCACGCCCCCTACAGGCCTCTTAGGAAGGGGGTGAGGTCAATAGTAGACAGTCTTAAGGTTAAAATTTTTTGGGGTTTGGGGAAGAAACCACAGAGTCAGGTAGAGTATTCCAGACATTGACCACTCTGTCGCTGAAGTCGTATTTCCTGCAGTCAAGTTTGGTGCGGTTTACTTTGAGTTTGTATCTATTGTGTGCTCTCTTGTATTGGTTGAAGCTGAAGTATTCATTTGCAGGTAGGACATTGCAATGTATGATTTTGATACATAGTCAAGGTCTTTTTGGAGGGTAATAGTATTGTCTGTGGTGTTGAATAGCTTTACATCATCAGCGAAGAGAACGCAGTTGCTCTTAATATGATCACAGAGGTCATTTATGTAGAGTATGAAGAGAGTTGGTCCTAAAACACTGCCTTGGGGGAACACCACTGTTGACAGGTACAGAATTTGATAGGATGTTCCCAATTTTGACCATTTGTTGTCTGTTTGACAGGAATGTTTCTATCCTGTTATGTAGGTGTCCAGAGATACCATAAGATTTTAGTGTTAGTAGTAGTTTGTCGTGTAACACTGAATCAAAGGCTTTACAGAAGTCTATGTAGATTGCGTCTATTGCTTTGCCCTGATTGAGTTGTGTAGTCCATATGTTTTTGCAATGTAAGAATTGCAGATTACAGGATAGTTTTTCCTGAAACCAAATTATTTATTAGAGAGTAGGTTGCTTGTCTCTAAGTGGAGGATAATGGATTGGTTAATAATTGATTCCATGACTTTACAGGTGACGCAGCATAAGGAGATTGGTCTGTAATTTTCAACTAGGCTGGGGTCTCCCTTTTTGAAGATGGGGATGACCGTGGCTTGTGACCATAGGTTAGGCAAGGAGCTGGTCCTGAAAGATTTTTCAAAGATTATGCTTAGGGGTTCAGCTATGGCAGTGGATAGCTTTTTTAAGAAGTAGGCACATATTGTGTCTGGTCCAATAGATAGGGATGGTTTTAGATTGCGCAGTGCTTTGTCAACAATGTCTTCTGTAAAATCGATATGTATTAGATCATTGTAGTCTGTGGTTCGACTAGGAAGTACTGGGCCTTGATCCATTGCTGTTTACAAATACTGAGCCAAAAAATGTGTTAAAGAGGTTGGCTTTGATGGTGTCATCATTGCAGTCTTTGCCATTAGGTCCTTTCAGGAGTGGGATAGACCTTGAGAATTTTAGTTTGTTGTTTACAAAATTGTAGAAAGCGCGGGTGGAATTTGTGCGTAGGTTTTCCTCTTGTTTAATGTGATAATTAGTGCATTCAGTTTTAATCTGATGGCATAGATTTTTGTAACAGCTTTTGAAGTTGGCAACGTGACCAGATTTGTTTTTCCGCCAAAGTGATCTCTTTTTGGAGTGAAGCTTCCTTATTGTTATGGGTAATCTGTTTTTCCTGGTTTTGGGAGTTGTTATTGGTACATATAGTTTGATGGCTCTTTTGATTTCCAGTAAGAATATGTTGTAATGGTCTTCAACAGTATTGCATCCAGTGAATAGAAATTGCCAATCAAGGGAAGAGAGATTGATTATAAGATCATAGTTGACTTTTTTGAAGTTATAATTGGGGATTTTGTCATTGTGATGATTTTTGTGTGGATGTATATTGAGACAAAAGTCAATCATGTTGTGGTCACTGTTGGAAAAGGGTTCTTTAATTTGTATTCCATAAATTGAATTCAAACTGTTGCAGAAGATGAGATCGAGGCAGTTGTTAAGCCTAGGGACATCTCTCTGTCTCATGTATCTATCTGTCTGTGTCTGTCTATCAGTCTATCCATCTATCATTTATCTACGTCATGTCTATCTCTCTCATGTATCCATCATGTATCATCTGATCTATCAATCTATCAATTTATTCTATCATCTATGAATTTTTCTATTATCTATCATGTATCTATCATCTGTAAATCTATCTTCTATATCATCTGTTTAATTTTCAGACTTCGGAAGTATCTATGGCCACAGATTCCAGATCCAAGAAAAAGCAATTTGGCTACTTGGATACCACAGAACATGTGCCTGGTAAGTGAGCCTCAGGGGAAGGGGCAGTTGGGCATTTTCTCCAGAAAAAAAAAAGACAATCTGGAATGTAATTTTAAGATGGGTAGACTTCAATCCCCAGAATGCCTTAGCTGGCATTTGTGGACTTCAGTCCCCAGAATGCCTCAGGTGGCATTTGTGGACTTCAATCCCCAGAATGCCTCAGCTGGCATTTGTGGACTTCAATCCCCAGAATGCCTCAGCTGGCATTTGTGGACTTCAATCCCCAGAATGCCTCAGCTGGCATTTGTGGACTTCAATCCCCAGAATGCCTCAACTGGCATTTGTGGACTTCAATCCCCAGAATGCCTCAGCTGACATTTGTGGACTTCAGTCCCTAGAATGCCTCAGGCGTCATTTGTGGACCAACTCCCAGAATTCCTCAGCTGTCATTTGTGGACTTCAACCCCCAGAATACCTCTGGTGTCATTTGAGGGCTTCAATTCCAAAATTGCCTCAGGCGTCATTTGTGAACTTCAACTCTCAGAATGCCTCGAAAGACATTTGTGGACTTCAACCCCCAGAATGCCTCAATCAGCATGTTTCTCTGCCTCCCCAATAACCCGTGTTCTACAGCTACTGGGCATGCTCAGTTTTCTCTTGTTGCTTTAACATTAAGACAGGGGTCTCCAAACTTGGCAACTTTAAGACTTGTGGAGTTCAACTCCCAGAATTCTGGGAGTTGAAGTCCACATGTCTTAAAATTGCCAAGTTTGGAGAATTCTGGGAGTTGAAGTCCACATGTCTTAAAATTGCCAAGTTTGGAGACCTCTGCGTTAAGATCTTGGCCTGAGCTTACCAACATTAATCCAGAGATGGTGTCAGTTTGACTGGATGACCCAAAAACCATCACCTCTTTTAATAACAAGAGAATATTGATCAAGTCCATCCATCTGGTGGAAAATTATATAGGGAGTCCTTGACTTACAACCATTCCTTTAGCAACCTTTTGAAGCTACGACGACATTGGAAAAAGGGACTTATGATAATCTTTCACACTTACAAGTATGGTAGCATCCCCAGTGGTCACGTGATCAAAATTCAGATACTTGGCAAACAGAATATATTTATGATGGTGGCAGTGTGTGTGTGTCCCAAGATTCATCCACAGATAGTCCTCGACTTAAAACCACAAATGAGCCCAAAGTAAGGGCAAAATTCAGTGAATTTTGACTCCTTTTATGACTTTTCTTGCCACCGTTGTTAAGTGAATCACTGCAGTTACATGGTTGTTATGTGAATCTGGCTTCCCTATTGACTTTGCTTGTCAGAAGGTTGCAAAAGGGGATCGCATGACTCCAGGAAAACACAACCGTCATAAATACGAGCCAGTGGCCAAGTGGCTGAATTTTGAATACATGATCATAGGGACAATGCAACGGTCGGAAGTATGAAAAAAGGTCATAACTCTAATTTTTTCTGTTGTAAATTTGGACGCTCACTAAACAAGCTGTTGTAAAGTTGAGGATTACCCTCAATCAGCTTTTGCAACCTTCTAACAAGCCAAGTCAATGGGGAAGCCATATTCACTTAACAACTTCAGTGATTCACTTAACAACAGTGGCGAGAAAGGTCGTAAAGTGAGGGAAAGCTCTCTTAACAATTGTCTCACTTAGCAGCAGAAATGTTGCGCTCAGTTGTGGTCTACCTTCATTTTATTGTTGGTGTAGATGCAGGTAGTACTTTACTTATGATAGTTCATTTAGCGACTGTTCAATGTTACAAAAGCATTGAAAAAAGTGACTCATGACCATTTTTCACACTTATGACCATTGCGGCATCCTCAAGACCCCTTTGGCATCTTTCTGGCAAGCAAAGCCAATGGGGAAGCCAGATTCACATAACAACCATGTAACTAACTTCTCCACGGCAGGGATTCACTTAACAACTGTGGCAAGAAAATTCATTAAATGGGGGAAAATTCACTGAATAAATGTCTCGCTTAAGAACAGAAATTTTGGGCTCAATTGTGGGATTACCTGTACATCCACCTTAAACATGATCTTCTTTTCTCTTCTCTTCTCTCCTCTCTCTCTCCTCTCCTCTTCTCTTCTCTCTTCTCTTCTCTCTCTTCTCTTCTCTTCTTTCCTTTCTCTTCTCTTCTCTTCTTTCCTTTCTCTTCTCTTCTCTCCTCTTC